TGCTGCCGTACTTGCGATCGGTGATGACGCGGTCAACTTCCTGATGACCATCCATAGGAGGGTCCTGCGATCGTCGGCCCGGAAAGTCGTCGCTCTTGGTTGGCGTGTATGTTGCCAGCTTCGAGGCGTGGAAGACCGGATGGACCGTCAGACGCTCTGGAATGTTGATCACAAATGAAGGGCCATCGGGCTCATCGCCCGCGACTGCTGTCACAGACCAAGGTCCAAACCACTTGGGAAGCAGTTTGCGTGAAACATCCTGTTCCAGTGCAAACTCTTCCGCGGAGACCCAAACCATATCAACGGCGCGGATGGGACATGGTACGCGACGCCTGTTGGCTTGCTGCTGCATGCGGACTTGAGCCTTTTGCATGTTTGCGCGGGCTTGAGTCAGCAATTCTCTGTACTTCCGAACGGAAGCGGGAGAGCAGGCAGCGTCAATGTCGGCTGGTCGAGGGAGGAGAAGTTCCGCGAAGATCCGTCCTTTCCGTCCACCGTGGTGCAACTCGAATGGAGTCACGCCAATCGCCGGATGCACCGAAGTGTTGTAGGCGAACTCGATGTAGAGGAGGCGGTCAACCCAATCTTTCTGGTCCGGACAGATGAGCGTACGAAGCATCATTTTAGCGGTTTGATGTGCCCGCTCCGTTTGCCCGTCCGTCTGTGGATGCCGAGCCGAACTTGGTTTCATCTTCATGCCGGACTCCTGCATGAGAGCAGTCCAAAATGCCGACATGAAGCGAGTGTCGCGGTCACTGACTATGTCTTCTGGTACACCGTGGCCACAAATCCAACCAGTGTGCAGGAGGCGTGCCAGCTCGGGAGCCGTGGAGTAGTACTTGCAAGGAAGAAAACGCGCGTACTTACTCAATCGGTCCAACACCGTGAGGATGCCGTCGTGCCCGAGCTGGTCGCGGGGAAACGGACCGGTGACGTCCATGGCAATGGAGAGACCAGGTTCCCGTGGGATAGGCGTCGGGCGTAACTCGCCGTAGGGATTGCGGTTCCGGGGCTTGCTGCGTCGGCAAACTTCGCAAGAGTCGCAATACTGAGTGACATCGGTAAGGAGATCGGGCCATCGGAATCGCTGTCGAAGCCGTGCAATAATGCGGTTGACTCCGAAATGGCCGGCGAGTCGTGAATCATGATACTCGCCGAGGAGGCGAGTCCGAAGACGTCGGTCGCGTGGGACACATAGTAAGTCCTTGCCTCTCGAGTGGAGGAGCAAG